TAATGGTTGGACTTGTTCTTAAAGGTCTTTCCCAACCTAAACAATTCTATGATTCTATGATTCTAACATCAATTCATGACTAATTTAATACTAGCTATGGGTTTTCACGAGTCATAGGTTGCTGCAGCAGTTTGGAAACAGTGAGGACCCTCTTTTCAAAACAGTCAAATCTTTATGAATAACTAGCAAAGCAATAAGCCTTTTTTTGGTAGCGGTTTTTGCAAATCTCTTTTGGTTTTACTGTTTCATCTTAAATGATAAATTGATAATAATTGGGAAGCAAGTTGGGCAGCAGTGGATAAAGGGGTGTGGTTTTTTTCTCTTCTTAAGAAACAGTGGCCAATGGGCACAAGTGCTCCTTTTGGCAGTAATTTTTCTGTCTTTTTCTTTTCTTTTTCTTTTTCTTTTTTTTTTCATTAGAAGATGGTTGAGTCCACAATGTTCTTTGGCAGCTTATTCCTCTACGTACCTACACTTCTGATGAGATGATCTAACCTGAAACATCTTTACTAAAAATTACAGGGTTTTCTTCCTTTCCTGTCCCCAAAGCATGCAAAACCTAATTGATTGCTGGGTCAGTAATAGTCATTTATATCTATGACAACTTATCATGTCCTTCCTTAGGCTTCCCTTTTCAAACTTCTTGACTGTGTTTTCTCAAATGAATTCCATCTTGTTGATTATGTACTGTTTCTCCAAATAATTTGATTAAATTACCTCATATCTCTTTTTTACTCTGATCCTCTTCTCTAAAATGCTTGCAACCTTCCCAGAATTATCTTTTGTACAAACGTGATAAATTCTGTCTTCATTCCCTCATCTACATTAATGATAATGTCAAAAGGAACAGGGCCTGTCCTCAGAGGAACTCAGTGAAATGTCTTCCCAGCTGGACAGCAAGTTGTTAATAACTACTTTTTGAAGACCATTTTCAACATTGATGGCACCCACATTGTATGATTTCATCCAGACCAATACTCTCCAGATCTTTCTATGGCTTAATCTCACTTGAGAAAGCAGGCAATGGTCCATGCATGTCTCAAGGGCAAGCTGATGAAGCTGTATTCCCTTAGAAGTGTTCAGTATATGTATTTTTTAGGTAGGTGGAAACCCTTTGCAACCAGGTACACCTATTTGGTCAGTCCTACTTTCAGATCCTGGGGCAGGAAAACATGCCAGGGTGTACTGATATATATATTTCTTCTCGAGGCACACATAAAGGTAGCCTTTAAAAAAAATCATTTTATCTAAATTTCTGTGGTCTGTTCTTTCTGTCTGTGACCTCTGTATTTGCTCCCTAGTGAAAATGGACTGTTAAGTATGTGGTAGCCATTAATCTCTCTTGTTTTTAGCAAAAACCAGTGGAGTTGTTGAACAGTCACCACTCTATGCCAATCCTTAGCAAGGCCAGTCTATCAGCGTTACCTGTGCACTGAAAACCTCACATGAAGATGAAGGGACCTTCTTGCTCAAGACTCACATGCAACCTGAGAGTGTGTTGTATGTTTCAAGTCAGAATGCTTCAACTACTTTTCCTGCTTTTGTTAATCGCTTGGAGTATTCAAAGCAAGAAAAGAAAATAGCGATAACTCTACACAACCTATGGAAAAACCACAGTGATATATATGTATGTGCTGGGGTGGTGAAAAATTCCTCTTTCCTCTCAGTGAATAGAAGTGGCACTATGGTGCTGATTAAAGGTACAATCCTTTTGCTTGTTTAATCATAAATACCTATAGGCATGTTGTAATACAAAAGGTGGGCTAAAAGCTTGCAGAACTTCAGTCAGGACAGGTAGAGCACTAATCCGTGGCTAGGCTTCTTCCAGTACCTGGGAAGGTTTGGAAAGGTTGCTCAGACTCCTCTGCACCCTGTTGTACTAGGACACAGAAACAGCCACTGTGCTTCTACCTGCCTTGTACAACCAGAGGGGAATTATAAAAGAGAAAACTTGCTATAATCCTGCATCTTAAAAAAAAAAAAAAGGTCAAAATCAGACAACAAACACTTCAGTGTGCCTGTGAATAATCTGTCAGTTTTAGGAAATGAATCAGTATTTTTAGCATCAGTTCTTTGACCTTAATGTGACATAAATGTCTTTTAGAAATCATCGCCTATAGCAAGTCTTTGTGTTTAAAATTAGGTCACAATAGGGAGTACAGAACAAGTCCTCAGGCATTTACTTAAAGTACCACAGATAATAGCAGACATGATCTCACACACCCTTATTATACACTGAGCACACTGTGAGCCTATGTTCCAAAGACAGTTGTTTGTTGGTTGTTTTTTTTTTTTCCCTGTGGGATGGTGTTGTAACCATTTGCTAAGATGAAGACAAAACCAGCAATATAGTGCTTGATTTTGATCTTACTGGTGCAACTTGTCCCTTGCATTGGGCTTTGATGAGATCTTTGGGCAATTAAAATACGGTTTACTTAGGTCCTAAGAGTTGCAAAAGATCTATCTGCAGTCTGCAAAAAGGACTGTGGTCTCATTCTATGCCGCTAGCCATAACTGGTGCAACAGCTCAGTAACGTGAGTTGGGGAAAATGACAGCTGCAGATCAAAGCAGCAGGGTGATTACCATATATTATGTTATTCAGATATGGATTAATTGAGGATTTAGAGAACTGTAACCCTTTCCACTAGCACTATTCTGCTCAGTGTATATACTCCAGATCACAGTAGCCTCCTACTTCTGTCTGTACTGCTTGCAGCCTGACAAACCTAACCGTTATATAGTTCCTACATACTCCTGGCCGAGACCCCAGTATTGCTGTAATACTGCAGTAAAACATTTTCTGTTTCCGTTACAAGTGTGTGGTCCTACTTCTGATCAGCGGTATGGAAGCTATCACCTTTGTAGAGTGCTCCTCACTGACCCTTCACGTGCCACCTGCAGTCATCACCAGCCTCTAGAAGAGCAAAGGGAATGCCAGTGAGAATACTAATGGGATGACAAATGTGGCTGTGTAGCCGCCTGTGTTGATATCTGATTTCTTGCTGACCAGTAAATAACTTCTTTCACAATAAAAATAGAATTCTACCTCTTCATATTAATAATAATACTATAATTTCACATGCAGAAGTGGAGCAGACAGGCTGCAGTAATAGTTCCTGGGGCATCTACGGCCTTACCATCATGGCAGTGCTACTGTTTTCTGTGCTGATATGCTGCACCTTGTACCGTGTCAATGTCAGTATGCTGTTGCCATGCCAAAGCAAAACTGAATCCAGGTTGAGTGAATAGGTGCCTTTGATATTACTTGTAAATAGTGACTGAGTCAAGCAAGTATTTGATAAGCTTAGGGAATCGTGGCTTTCTATTGTCTCCTCTTTGCCCTTGTTTAATGTCTCCCAGCTGTAAACTCTTGGCGGTAAAGACTGTGTGTTCTTATGTTTTTGTAACTCTTAGTACATGAGATATTGTTTGCCTTTTGATAACAAACCTCAAGTAAGCCACGCAGTCAACACCACAGCCTTGCATTATATGTGTTTCCCTGAAGAGAGCACCTCACGGTTCTGTTTTGCTTCCGGGTTTTTTTGTCAATTGGGAATGGAGCTGTATATACCAACCTTGTAACAGATGTAAGAGAATGTTTGGAGGGGGACACAAGGACAACAAAAAGTCATAAAATAGCCTGATGTCTGAAAGTAACTGTAGGAGAACAGCTGTCCTAGAAAAAAAGGCGACCAAGACATTTTTCCTTTACTGGGATTATTTACATTCATATTCTGCAGAAAGTGCCCAGAAATTATTTGTCTCTGATAGGTCCTTCTGCTCCATAAAGATTACTCAAAATTACAGAGTAGGATTCACAGGCCAGGCTCCTATCTTGTCCCTCTACATATGGCTACAGTACTGCTAAAAAATAGTAGTATAACATCATTCTGGCAAAGCCAAGCGGCCACGTGGGAACTGGTCTCTTGTGTTATCAGTAACAAACTAAGGATAAGCATTGCTTATGTTGGGGCCACAGCTACATCCAACTCTCGAAGGAACTTTTAGTGAAATTACACCAGACTGACAATAGAAAGCTAAATAAATAGGTTGACAATTTCCACCTAATCCTCTAAGACCTCACTGGGTTATGAGAGGAATTTTAAAAGTACATTTCCAATTCAAACAGATGGACTCCTAAGACTTGTAAATTGACTTCTTGGCTGGGGTCTTTTCAAGCCCTGTTCTGAACAGCTGTTTGCTTTGTTTTGCAGATGAAGAAATATTTCCAGAAAAGAAAACCACATGCAGTATATGAAGATATGTCTTGCTGTTTTAGACATGACACCTTGATCAGAACCAACGCTTACTCCATTGGCGATTAAGCTTCTGCCAGCTGGGACCATGCGTGGATCGACCATTCCTTTACAGGTCTCTCTGAGAGCTGCCTTAGCAACCCGATGCAGTAGTGGAACTAAAAATACTATCATCTACCTTCTTTGGTGGAAAGAAAAACCTGTCTCATTTCCAAAGCTGTTTCTGCTTTTTTGATCACTTACAAAATTTTTTTTTTCCCTAATGTATAGAAAATACAGAGAAATGCAAGTACCCTGCCCGTGTGTTTGTAGTGCAGTGTTGAAAGTAGTATTTTTGGACTATACATTTGGCTAGATGCAATGTATGGGGTCATTTATTTGATTGATAAATAACCCTTTCAGGGAAGGTGGGATAGATTGAAAGGTCTGGTTCTGAGCTTTGGTAAGTGCTCAGGAAGACCATAACAGGCCTGTTTAGTAATATGCAATGGATCCACATATGCATGGATTACAGTTCTCTTACGTATTCTCATGGGTCTGCCCAAGACCTCAGGTAGCTAAAACTACTCAAGAGTTACAACAAAGAAGTCTCTCCTGAAGAGAATTGAGAAAATTTGTGGCAGAGTGCATTATAAGTGAAGTGCTAGATATGTGAGGACTTACCTATTCAAAGATCATAACGGTCCCACAAAAATGCAATCAAGTCTAGATTTTAAATTACTGCCTGTGTCAGACATACTGGCATGCTTGGTGTGGGGCTTGACATGGTTGACATGCAAAATGACTAGGCTTGGGGCATGATGGCTTTGTGGGACAGCAGAAATATTTGTGACATGCTGGTGTCATCTTAAACTCCAGATGTCTTAGGACTACACAGTAGAATACATTTCTCCAGGTCAATGAGTCTACACTGTACAGTACAAGGTGAACTAATCTGGGATAAAGCCAATGCCTGCATTCCAATCTGGGCACGGGTGAGTCTGATCCAAAATCACTCTTAATAAGGGAATTTATCAAAACCTCACATCTATCAAGTAGAAATTAAATTTGGTTTGGTAATGGCTTAGAACAGGTTGCTACGATGAGCTTAACTCTTCTCTAGCTGAGGAAGAGCTACAGCTTCCTCCAGGGGTGTTTTGGTTTTGCAGAGCCAGGTCTGCTGTGGGAAGTCAACGATCTTGCATGCCCAGAGGAATATCGAATTGCCCTGTTACGAGGTAGGATTGACGGGGTTGGCTTGTGGTTTCTGGGGACAGGCTGAGACTAGAATTTCTCTTTATTGATGCATTTGTTTAGTTTTTGAGGGATTAGGGCCAGTTTGCCATTGATGAGAGTGCATAGCTGGAGCGGAGCCAGGCAGAGGGGATCCTCCCTCTCTGGAAGTGAGCTCTGCTGAGATCTCAGCTTGCCGAGCCAAGCCTGCCACTCTGGAGAGGCCATTTCCCTTCAAATGTCACTCGTGAAATGCTGTGCACCAGACCTGAGGGAGAAATCTGCTCCCTTGGGTGGCTGGTGGAGGGATGGATTTACCTTGTAAGCAGAGAGGTGTCTGTTGATTGCAGACCTTGCAATCTTCACATAGCTGTACCTGAATAAAATTATGTTTGTGACTGGGGCTTTGTACAGTTGCTTGATATTTTTATACATGTATTAAACACTATTTCATATATCTTGCAAATGAATGCTAGTTATTGAATGGACTTTTTCTTTTAGTGTTTTTTTTTTTTTAGAGTGATTCAAAGGTTTCTTGCAAAATGCAGTATAACTTGCTCCTAATAGCACCTCAACAGACAACATAATAACTATTTTCCACTTCATTTACATAATCTACACGTGGGGTTTTTTTAGTTTTAAAACTAATCACTGAAGAAAATACCAAAGAACACTTCAGATGATGTACATTCATGCAATCCTTTCGTAACGGCTAAGATAAAACTCCTCAAGAGCTAAAAATGTCAAATGGAGATGGGTAAGAAACAGATGGCACTGGGGAAGCTCGGCCCGTCCTTCAAACAGCACCTTGCATGCGGTCGCGAGGACTGAGGGCCACAGGGTTCCCTAAATCTGGCGCAGGAGATGGCGCCTCAGCACTGTTGCCCATGTCTAATGTCTCCATGAGCACGGCCCCAGTGGGGTCCCACGTCTCCTCACAGGGGTCCCACGTCCCCTCTCTCCACGCCCTGGGCGAGCACGGCCCACGTCCCCTCACCACTTGCAGCAGGCCCTGTTGCCGTGGTAACTGGCGGCCCTGTGGCCCCCATGGCGCGGGCAGGCTGCAGGCTGGGCACCCAGGGAGCACTGCCAGCCCTTCTACCCCCCTCGCTGCATGGGCCTTCACCCCAGGAGATCCCTGGAGGGGGGACGACGCCGTCTGCGTTGGCGTCAAGTGGAAGGCCCGGACTCAGAGGGGACTGGACCAGAGCAGACTCCGAGGGACAACAAAAGCTTTGCAGCACCTTGTTAAGAGAGGCGTACCTCAGCACCTTCTCCTGCATGCCCCAAAGCCGCTCCCAGAGGACTGTCAGGGTCCTCCAGGGCCGCTGTTCTGGGAGGAACAGCCTTCCTCACAGGATGAAACAGGGAGGCCCTCCCACCGGCGCCTGCATGGTGCCTGAAGGCCCGGGGCTGTGCTGACCCACTGCAGGAGGGGCCGGCAGGGGCAGCCTGCGGCCACGTTGCCACCACAGCATCCCCTCCTGCTGGGGCAGGCCCCAGCGTGAAGCTACAGCCGTGCACGGCCCTGCCTGGGCAAGGCAATGCTGCCCCTTGTCCGAGCGCAGCGACAGCAGCAAGACCAAGCAGATTGTGTCTAAATGCCCCCCGCAGCATTTAGACCGTTTCTGTCTTTGTCATTGGACAAGCCCAGCTCATGAGCGGATGTAGAGCTGGGGAAGATGGTCTAACAAATTAGATACCAATCTAGGAACTAAAATACCCATAGCCAATCACTTTTCGTCACATTTTCATTTTTGAGAAAAGGTGCAGGTTTAGTAGAAAAGGGCAATACTCCCAGAGAGACAATGTACAGAGGGTCCAGATGAGCAAACTGGCATTTGACATCAGCTTTCTGTAGCAACACTACTGTGCAAACATGACCACAGTTGTGGAAAAAACAAGCTGTGAAAGGAAACAGTAGTGGAGGTGGTTTCTTTGGCTTGGTGTAAATTAAAAAAAAAAAAAAAGTAAAACCTAGCTGAGGAAAATGACATATAGTGAGACATTTCATGAGTTGTACCTGTGTGGAGGGGTAGAGAATCAATCTCACAATTAACCCAAGAAGTGGTGAATGAACTGCTTGAAGAGAACTGCTGGGGAAATTAGCTCAAGAGTGTCAGAGGAAGAGGTTGGGTATTTGGCTGTTGAAGAGGGTCGGGGAGGTCCTAAGATGCAGCATCGTCTCAGAGCTTCCCTGGAAGGCAGGCAAACTGAATTTTTCATCTCCAGAGTTGAAGACACAATTGTTCTGGGCTTATCCTGTTGCCTTTGCCGTTTTTCTGTCTCCTGTCCCTGTGCCGGTGAGGGACACGATTTTCAAGGAGAGGTGGGAAGCACAGTGTAAGTCTCTGCAACCGGGCCAGGACCCACCGCAGTGAGAACGGTATCAGGGTATTAGCGAGATCCCCTGCCCCATTTCAAGGGCTAAATGACAGAAACTGCTGCTGGGAGCAAAGCAACCTCGGGTGGGGGAGCAGAACTGCAGCTCTAGTATCAGCATTTACTGAACAGGCCTGGAGAAAGCTGAGGCAGCTGAGCAAGGACAGTATGTCAGAAGCAGAGGAAACATGACAGGCAAGGTACAAGCCACGTCAGAAGTGACTCAAGGTGCTAGGTCTATATGGAGTGGCCTGGGCTGAGCTCTCAGGAAGGGGAGAGCTCATCAGAAATAATGTTTGGTTATTTGCAAAACTAGAGAGACCAGCCAGCACACGTAGATTACCGCTGATGGAGCCCATAGACTCAGTAGAATTTAACTGAGGAAAGCATTTTAACCCTTTGACTAAGGCGTGTCTGACAAGTACATGCTTGAACTCAGATGCCAAGGAGGTTGATAAGCCGAGTTGAGCCACAAAACATTTTCCAGGAGGACTGTATATGGGATAGAAGTAGGTTCTCCTCTTGTTGTGGCTTGTGACAGATTGTTGGACGCTGGATTATTTCCAGTGACTATCCTGCAAACAAATGTTTATATGCTTCTAGCAGTTTTAAATGCTACATGACATATTTCTAAAGTCTACATTGGTAGAGTTGCCTGGAGTTACTTTCTTCCACCCGTCTGTCACTGGTTGTTGCTTGTGATCATTTCCATTCACTAATTCATGTATGAGACTTTCTGTTATTATTTGGAGGATATGACCAAAATATGTCCAGCACTGCTGGTTCTGCTGAAGACAAACTACTGACTGGTGATTTCTTAAGGTCCCTGTGTTAGTGAAAAATTATTTCCATTCAAGGCATATGATCTTTCTTAAGCACTTGTTTTTCAAGTAATTTAGTTTCTTTCTGAATGGTTTGTAACACTCGGCTTGCAATCATGTATTAGCAGTCAGCTTACAGTCAAGTTGAAAACATGCAGTTTTTTAGCTCACAGATTTGGTTTTCACACAGTTCAGAGCTCTGAAGTGCTGAAAATGCCTTCTTGGTGCCATTTTTTAAATCTGACATCCTTGATTAATATGCTTCTGCTCTAGTTAATGAATTCTTCTACTGCTCAACATCTAATTTTAAGAGTATTTGTGTGATCATGCGTGGTTTTTAACACTATTTCTAATGCTTCAGTAATGACTGGATACTGCCTATGTGCAGCACACAAGAAATCTTCTGAGTTCCACTTGAAATCTCAACAGGTTTCAACTTGCTTTTTGGTAAATCACTGATAGCACATTACTGATCTTAACTCTCTTATATAGCCAGAGCATCCTACCTTGCCTACAATATCCTCACACGCAGAAGATTTAGGCTTAATATTAAGAGATTATGATTCTTTTCATTCAAGAACGTGAAATAAAGCAACTAGCCTAAATATTGATCAGAATGAATAAAACACTTTGTCCTAACGTTAAAATTTTACA